GTTCTCAAATGCTAATCTACGTTTTATCGTGGTATTTTTCTGATTTCAGTGTGATAGCGACGACATCTCCAATCTTGTCACTAATGAGGGACGTTTAAGATTTTTTATTTTTTGGTTTTTGCCTATTTTTGTTTTTGAGAATCCTAAAAGTGGACACAAGGCAAATGCTTATCACGAAATGCAGCAAGAAATGATTAAGAATGTATTGGGAATTAAGTTAGTGTTAGTATGAGGCCTGCATACAAGTCCGTGTTATTATCATTTTTTGTTATTTGTTGCTGACCATAGTTTCATAATTTTTCCATAATACTAATTACTGCTAAGAATGTACGGGCTCTTTTTTAAGGTTCTGCAGAAAAATCCCATTGAGATTAAAAACCTCTTTTTCAAGGGATCAAGAGGCAGCAAAGGTACACGGGTATGGCATTTACTCGGTTGGCATGAGGAGTGGTAACCTTAGAGCACAAACAAGACAAGGTCAAGGTCAAGTTTATTTATATGGCACATTTAAAAAAGAGACATGACTGCCACAACATGCTTTTGATACATTACCAAAATAGATGCACACGGATAAAATACAGCGTAAAATGAAATACTGGGCCGCAAACATTTTATTTCATTTTAGCTTGAGTTAAAAGCCAGAGCGAAGAATAGTCCTTACCAGAATAAATGCAATGTTACAATTGAGAGATCAATACTTAATCTCAGAGTGATAATTTCAGCAGAAGATAAATTATTATTAACTATACTAATAAAATACAATTTCAAACACTAGCATAAAAATGAGCGGTATAAAACCTCTATCTTTAGCATGATTAAGAAACAAAACTTAAGCAGTTGTATTCTATATCTCTTTAGTTCATTACATTAGAGTATCTTGGGAATCCATAGGACCCCCTTGAAAAAAACATGATTCATCTCAAAGGGAAATCCAAAATAAATGAATAAATAATAATGAATCGTGTTATTATCGGGATTTGTCGGACACTAAAATAAGCTACATTGCATTTGTCACTAGTACTGTACCCATAGGTGTCCTGACAGAAGCAATCCTCACTAATCATGCTACACCAGAGCACCACGGCTCCCGAACCAGTCTCCCATCACAAAGCTTACTAGGCCCCACCCCGCTTAGCATCAAAGCTCGCGCTGCATGCATTGATGTGTATATGTGTAAATGTACCCATCTAACTGCAATTTACCCATTGTGGGACAAATAAAGGACCTAATTGTTATTAAAAAAATGACATGAGTTAGTCTGTTTGTCTTATGCCTTATTTCTAACATTTATAAATTGTTTGCACTGAGAGTCAAAGCAATTTCCTGCTTTGTGATTTCCTGTTACTAACAGTGGCAATAAAAATAATTTCTAACATGTATACCTCACCGTGCGGTCTTCCTCCTATTAGGAAAAAAATGTTTTTTTTTGGTCATTGGTTATTTTAATGCATAAGAAAGAGCCCTGTGTGTCTGTGATTGGCCAAATGAAGGTGGTCCTCTTGTTTTCACTTTTCTGACTGAAAAATATAATCTGACTGGAAACTAAAGTGATATAAATATAAAACTTTTGAGAAAAGGAAATAATTACATTTGGTTTGCGAGTTAGGTACACCAGCTTTAATGACCAAACATGACAAAACATGTACATAAACAAGAGAGATTGATAATCATAATCTCCTTCCATTGCCACTATACAACAGCGACAACAGCTTTTGCCATCACAGTCCAGAGATATTTTACTTATTTATAACAATACTATACTCAAAACAAAATGATAATTAAAAAGTGTCATGCAGAAGTTAAGCACTGCAGCCCCTGGCTTGTTGCAGATTTCCATACAGGGCGTGAGGGAAGAGGGAGAGGGGGGATATCCTCGTCTTTCCTAGCGAACAACACTGGCAGGGTGTCAGTAGACTTGACAAAACCTAGAGACTTCTGACACTGTCACACTTCAGGATAATTGGTCTCCAACACTTAAGAGAGCTAACTTTCTCCCTTTAAGAAGAGGTCCCACCAAAACTTTCTTCACAGCGTGCCACCTTAACCAACACATTTTCATATTCATTGGTTCCGTGCATCTCCGCTTGCAGCTAGTTAAGCCATAGCATACCTGGCACAGGAAGTCACTGGCAGTTTTCACTCAGAAAGAAGTGAGAAGAGCGGATATGGCTGCATCCGATGGTAATGTATTCACAAAGTCTTTAAGTTGTGTGCAAGTTTACTTAGTTTTAATGCTGTCACTGCCCTTTTTAAACCTACATGTATTTTATTTATCTGTGAAGATTTGTAAATGAGTTGTGCAGGCTTTAAAATTGGGAGCACAAAGTCACATGATGTAAGCAAGGAAAATAGAGTTGGTCTTTACATATATATATACTTTATTGACCTCTGTAGGAGAAATGCAGGTGTATAAAAGCAGACATCAATACATATATCATTCTAAAAGTTACTAACAATAGTAATGAAGGAAACATGTTGAGCTTCAAAAATGTTAATTGATCCCTTTGTAGGGAAAATCAAGGGATTCAATCATCCAGAATCCAACTAATGTTCTTGACAAATAGTCATATGTATATATTTTTCTTCCTCTTTATCCGTGGCCTGGTTGTAGGGGCAGCAGTCTAAGCAAAGACACCCAGACTTTACTATCCACACAAACTTCCTCCAGCTCCAGGGAAATACCAAAGAATTTCCAGCCAGCTGAGAGAAATAGTCCCTCCAGCGTCCTGAGTCTTCCCCAGGTTCTCCTCCGGGTGAGACATCCCCGGAACATCCTCCCCAGGGAGCCGTCCGGGAGGCAGTGAAACAAACCAGTGGCAAAGAGCAGACTTGGCAAAGGCCAACATGCTCTGGGAACAGGTCTGATTTGACTGCAGTGATACAAACATAATAATAGTTTGGTCATACAAGGACCTAACCATAGGTTTTCCTCATAGGATCATGACCCATGTACTCTCAGCTAACCTCATAGAACACCCCCGGGGAACACAGTCGAAGGTCTTGTTCAGCTCCACAAAGCACAGCTCCCCTGACCCCTCGAGTACCTCATGAAGATTATAGAGCTGGTTCAGTGTTCCGCATCTGGGACGAAAACAACACTGTTTCTCCTGAATTTGACTATCAGTCATATGGTCTCCTATCTAGTACTTTGGAGTAGAACAGAAGAGGCTGAGAATGTGATCCCACACACACCCTTTCTAGAAGAGAGGGACCACCACCCTGGACTGCTACTCCAAAGAAACTCTCTCCAATCTTCATGCGATACAGAGATGTGTTCAGCCAAGACAGTCCTACAACATCCAGAGTTTAAGTTTATCAGGACGAATCTCATACTGCTGAGGCCTTGCCGCAGAGGAGGCTGCCAACATCCTCAAGAAAGAAATGTGTATACCGATTAAAAAAACAAAAACAAAAACCAACACCTGAGAGGAAGTTACAGCTCCCCTGTAACCCGCATAATATGAGAACATTTTGAGCTCAGGGCCGATCATAGAGAAAGACACACAGACCAAGATGCCCATTGGGGCCAAACGCTGTATTTGCCCCAAGAATAGTTAGAACAGTCCAGGCCTGTAGGCTTTCTCTCCCTTTTGCACACAGATACACAACTGCAGACACACACACACACACACACTTTCTCCACACACGCTGTCATCTGATGAACATGTTGATTGTTCCGCCTCAGAAGAATCAGTTGCATCATTTCTCGGTGGGCAGCAGCACTGGGCTACAAGGCTTTTGCATTAACAATAGATTCATCATGCATGAGTGTGGCCTCTCCTGTGAATTGATAAGTGGATCTGAATAGGAGACTGTGCGCTGCAGCCTCATGAGGAGAAGAGTGACACTTGGAGCCTTTCAAGTCCTAATGTGGTCAATAATACAGTAATGCCTTGTGTATTGTGTGCTGTAGAGGAACTTTCAGTTGGGAACTGTGCTCCCAAACCTCATTTCTTTGAACTTTAAGTTACATCTAGAATTAGTGATCTTCAGTTTGTGCTTGAATGAACACTTATAAAGGCCTCTTTCTAGTTATTTGATTATTCAAAACAATTACAATAGTATTAACAATAATAATAATAATATTATTATTATTATATAATAATTATTATTATTTTATGGGGCAGTATTGTTTTGCTATTGCGTTTGTTGTCGAAATGCACCAATGCGTAGCTATTATTATCCGCGCCTCCTTACAGATGAAATGCAGCCGTTTGGCTCATTATTTAGATGTGCATTCCGGTGGAATCAATTCTCATAGACACATATAAATTATTGTTTAACGAGAAGCTGTATACTATAAATTATTCAAAGCACCTGGGATTACAATACGAGATCAAATGATAGGAAAGAAAGAGCACTCTGCTGGAGGCAGCCCGCACACGAGCCATCACATCCCAGTTTGATGTTGCACACAATCTGCTTATGCAGGAATAATTGGGGAGTAACACACACCATGTGTACAGATGTACAGGCCGGCTTTGTAGCCATATTTGGAGAGAGGTAATTGGGCCGCTGGACATGGTCAGCAATGTCACCCTGACTTGTGTACACATTTGTCCTCTGCAAAGTTACAGCATGAATAACAAGAAACACAATTGTCTTGTTTATCTGCTGCTGCTACAACTGCACAAACTCTGAGTTCAACTTCAGGGAGGAGCTTCTGTTTACAAGCATCACATCCACAAACTGTAATCATCTTTTCACTTCCTGCTCCATTCAAAGCTCAGCTAAGACAGAGCACAATTTACTGGTATGTTACAGTGCCCTGATGTGCTGTAAAAAGGACACTCCAGGAGATAAGGAGAAAGCCAATGTGCGGCGGGCGTGTGACTGATGGAGAAAGGGGATCTGCATTGAGTACTCAGTCATAAAATAAATAATGTTCATGTCACCAAAGTACGAGCGGCGGGGAAAGATGACATCGGAGGGTCTCACAGGAAGCCGGGGCGTGGGGGCCCGAGACAGAGGAGGAGGGCTTTGTGGGACTGTTTAGGAGTATGAGGGATGCAGGTGCGCGCTGGGATGGATGTGGTTATGCTGAGTGCGTGTGGCTGGGCTGGGATAGGACCGAGGCGGGAGAAAGGGGGGTGCGGCGTAATTGCCCCCACAGATGGGTGAAGTGCGAGGCGGTCTCGGGGAGAGGTAGGTATGAACTAGTGTAGGTGCATCCTGTCTGCAAACATACAAAGACATTAGCAACTAGAACAGTCAGAAAGGAGAAATGGTGCAAGTGTAAAAAAAGTGGTTCAGCTTAGAGATAGGGAAGGAGTGAGGGTGAACACGGCTCAGGATGTGGGTTACACGGTTTAACCCAGTTCAGAAACGCAAAATGTACTTATGGAAAACTTTTGTTTGAGCACATTTTTACCACCAGTATATAATCGCTGCTTGGTTTAAATAGGAGTACGATTGGTTTGTACTTAAAGAAATAGCTTTATAAAAGCAAAACTTTGAGAACAAGTCCGACCACAATTCCTCAACTCCTTTCACATTCACGTGTTTCATTTTCATACAGCAGAGATACATTTTGTTGCCTCAAAAATGCAAATGTAATTTTCAAAAGAGGACTTTTGTGCTCTTTTGTATTTTATCCCTATTCTACCACAGTAAAGTACGTCTCTTTGTTTCTATGTACCCCAGCTTTAACATATTTGAGGCAAGGCAAGTTATTCACACTCAAGAAAACAAGATAGAAGCAGTCACACAAGGCACTAAAATCATAAAGTATCACAGTGCATAAAAAGAAGGAAAATATCTCTCAGTTATATGCACAGCTAAACACAACTGTAGTGTTTTTATCCTGGATTAAAACATTGACAGAAAGCAGCCTGTCACACATTTTCAGGAAGACTTTTCCAGATTTTAACTGCATCCATCTAATCCACTGCCTCCCCTGTTAAAGCTGGGGGACATTGATTATGTTCTTTTGAATATTACCCTTTGTCATGATATTTCTGTCTTTTGAAATGTGTTTTTGTGACAGGCCAACCTTAAGTTTTCCATCAACAGGTGAACATGAATACAGATATGATGGAGTGGGGTACTAAGATATTATTGATTCAGTTACTACAGGTGCACACATTTAAAGCTGGGGTACCTACATTATACGTAATACATTCTATTTGCCCCAACATATAGTCTTTTGAAGGTCAAAAAAGAAGAAAGAGCCCCGTGAGCCGACTGAATAAGGGTGGTCTTCTCTTTTTAACTGATTTAAAGATGTGATAGAGGCCGACAATGTGTGATAGAACCAAACTAGTTGGATAGTTCATGTTTTGTCCAAATTGGTGGACCTAAATGAGTGATATTATGGTTTATTCTCTCTATATATCTAAGAGGCCGCAGATATAGCACCATCAAATGTAGAACTAACATGTTTAAGAACATTTTTATCCCTTTTGCCATTGGTATTTTAACCAATTGTTGTTATTCTTCTATTGTGTATTTATTGTATCTTGTATGTATGTGTGTATTGACAATTACATGGTCTCAAGATTCTTATGGACTTCTTTGCTTTCCAAAGTCAGAGGATACTTAGGCCGCTTCAGCTCAATGCCTTTATTTTCCAGTTTCTCCGCCGCTCAAACCCACACATTAATAAATAAACATATGCTTCGTACAATCGAGACGTCTTACTTTATTTTGAAGGACTGTTGCCTGTCTTTGCACCACGAACAGTCAAGGCAAGGTGAACAAGTACGCCAAGTATATTTGAAACTTTTGCTCAAAGTTGAGAAAAATAAAAGCGAATGCATATGTGTCCAAGATGTGAATTTCTTCCTTTTTTTGTTTTTTTTTTTGAACAGGTGCTGCAATACCCACTACAAGAATGTGAAAACTCAAAAAGGCAAAAAAAAAAAAAAGTGGGGGGACCAAGATGAAGGGAAGGAAGAGGGCCATGAGGGAAGGCGACAGAAAAGAAGTGAGTGGATCATAGCCAGGGAAAAGACGACTTAAAGATCTTAAAGATATGCACGCTGGAGAGGAGGCGGGCGGATGAGAGGGAACCTTAAGACCGTAGGGGACTGTCCTCATTCCTGTTCCCCATGCTAAGCCCCTGTATTCGAGCCGACCGTGCCACTTCCGATCAGGCGCTACAGCGAATCCGTCTGTGTGCGTGTCCCGAGCAAGAGGGCCCCGTGTCCCGGCTGAATATCCCGACGAAAGAGGCGAAGAGGAGAGAAGTTTCCGCGCTCTCTCTCTCCTAAGGCGTGTTCTTCATTTCAATTACAAGGGCCGTGTATTCCTTCAGGGCAAGGCCGTGTCGTGTGATCCGCGCTAATGCGGAGAGGGCGCAGCGCTAAGGGGGAAGTTGCAGCCATTATCTGCATATTATATAGGTCCTGCGCATTGGAGACCAGAGGGGCAGATGTTAAACTTGCATAAAGAAACAGTTGCTTTGTGTATTTATAACATCATGTAGGCCGTATGCTACAAACGTTTAGATGTTTGGACTGCCATGTGCTTGTGTATGACCAATAAGAAGGAGATTGAGATGACAGAAGGCCAAGCTTGTTAACTTATGCAGGAGAGCCATGAGAAATCACCACGATTTCACGCGTCTCCAAATTAGGCTTTTAACTTGTACCAATTATTTTTTAAACCCACACTTAATTAAAAGCGTAATAGGAGTTATAGGAGACAAGCTTTTTGAAGGGACATGTTGCTTGAATTGGTCCTAATGTTTTTTAATTATGTCATAAGCACAATTTTGCACACAATCTCCTCAGCTCGTCGAATTGGCTCCAATGTGTTTAGTTTGGGGCTGAAGTATTTTAGTAATCCATTTGATATACAGTATGGGGGATTGAAAGCCATTGGAAATAGAGGCGTTAGAAGCAAGTCCTTAAAAAAGAATTGCAGCTACAAATTATGAGGGAGATACTTTTGGAAACAATTGCCGAATCTGAAGTAGATATAATCAACTGTTGATTTTCTCATGATCAAAAGTTTGAAAGATGTTTTGTGTTTTTTTTTGTTGCTTTTTGACCTTTTGATTTTGATTTATTCATGACAGAAAAAGATATAAGGGACAGAATGTGTGAAAATAGTCATTGTGAAACCAAAAGTCATCAAAGCAAACACATGCCAAAATCTTAGAAACTCAGATCTCAGCAGACAATAGATTTATATGAATCCAAATACATAATTAAAAATAAAAATAAACACATTTAATTGTCTGTCATAATCACACGTTTGTAATTGACAATATCAGAAAAAATCATTGAAATAAATTATGTTATTGTAACTGTATGTTTTTTTTCACCCTCAAACTTTTATAATACTACAGCATAATCCAAGTAGTTCTTCGATTACTCCATTACATTAAAAGAACAGGCTGCAAAAGTTAGCTAAACTGTTATTCATTCATTGACATTCGTCTCTATATGGACCAATATTTTTGTGTTTGAACTGTTTTAATTCTCTGCCCTATGTCCTCTGAGACTACTGTTGTGATTTAGGGCTATACAAGAAGAAATATAGTCAAAAAATGTATGATTTTCTTAAATATTATTTTAAACTGAAGAAATCCAACACATAAAACATTCTTACTGTTAATGCCTTCTAAGATATGTCTGAAAGCCAGACACAGTCATCAAAAAAGCCTCAACTGGCTCCTGATCTCTGCCTTGTAGCTAAAACATGCACGTTAAAAATAAATATATATATACAGACAATAAATAATGATCCACGGAACATATAGTTTCATCAATTACTGCAGGGCTAAACATGTGGAAATGTGGTTTAGTTCCGTATAGGATAGAATAAATCAGCTAGGTCCCATTGAGCGGCTAATCACTATTGCACACACGCAAAACCTTGGTAAATATAGCCAAAAGTCTTACATGAAAAGACTGGTGCAAATGTAGATATAATGACAATATCAAATCATTGAGAAGTGCAAATGTTTAGATAGAAAGAGAAAGACTGGGCCAAATTGTACAGTTTAATGCAGTGTAAAAAATCATAATAAACTCACTTGAAATCCGATTCATTATGTATATATCATTGTTGGAGCGGCTCACTGATTAAAAATAATGACATTAACACTAGTTTAAATAGTGAACGATAATGTGAAATATGATTACCTAGTTACTGTACAAATATGTGTTCTTAGTCCCAGCAGAAAAACACATTCTCACACGTCTCAGTACACCATTGTTGCACTCCTATTGTTAAAAGTCCTGGGAAATAAATCGAGAAACGTTGCCTTAAAAACCTGATTAATCTTCCCAACGCTTCGCCGAATAAAACTGCTATTTGTAAGGTTTATCTACCTGAGTTTTTCTCTTTTTCCCTCTTCTCCTCGGTATAATCTTTGGTTCAATTTCAGACGAAAGCGGCTGTTTTGTAGTGTGACTTCCCTTTTCAGCTCGCTCTGCTTTTGTGCCTGCTGTAGAATATGTTTTATTTGTATTTATGCATATGAATAGCATACGCTGAATGCCAGTGATTAGATGGCTTAAGTTCCCCTTCAGAGTTCATATCCTCTATAAAACTGTCCAATTATGTGTTGGTGAGCTCTGAGGCGTCTGAGCTGCTGCCTGAAAGTGAAACGTGTGAAAGCATGCCCAACAGTGCCACCTATAGCCCCAGAGAGCCCCAATCTCCATTTGCATCATTCCTAATAGCATCGTTCTTTTATGTGATTAAAGCTGGGGTACCTAACTTAAACCACAGGATCTCATAATAACATCCTCCTCGCTCTCACTGCAGTTTGGTTCTATCACTATGTGCTTGTAATATTTAGCCTGCTTGTATCACATGTTTAGACCAGCCTCCCTCAGCCAATCAGCTATCAGCAACAAGAAGCAAATAGGCACTTACAGGAAGTATTGAAACTTTACTACGTTTTCTATTAAGATAATATAGACATTATTTACGTATTTTATATGTGTCCCCAGATAATAAGTCAACATGTACAATTTATACTTGGCATTTTCTGAACAAAAGATTAAAGTGTAGAGAGTTAACCTTAATTAAAAATACAATGGACATTATGTGACTATGATACATTTATGGAGCCGATCTTTCAATCAGATTATCCAAGCAGAGAGCAGAAACAGTCTCTCATATTGGTTGCCAGTTTGGCTCTTATCTTTCTTTTGAGTAAAAAAAAATAAAAAAATAAAATAAAATAATATAGCACTACACGTATGTTTAAATGATAAGATATACAATTAAGTATTCATACGTAATACACAGAGTTTGGACCATTTTTAGTTAAACTCCATATCATGTGGTTCTTAAGCCACCTGCTTACAAGAGCTACATGTGGAACAGGCAGGAAGATTCTGGCAACAAACGTTTGGATTGTAATTGTGATGACTGTCGTAGACCTCTAAAAGTTGTTCCTTTAAGGCGGGGTGTTGTAGTCTGTTTATTTCCCCCACTTTATTTTACCTTCATAAGACTCTTCCTGTTGGGACAAACAACATGTATTATACTTATGAAAAGAAATAAGTTAGGCGTACCCCAAAAAAAGATTCAACTTTTTTTGTAAAAGAAATTTCCATATTTTACACCTGTGCAATGTTGTTGTCATGCAAAACATATCTGCAATTGCAAGTGATTATATTTTGTGTATGTGTGTGCGTGTGTGTGTGTGTAGGTGTGTGTGTGTGAGTAAGGGGGGGAGGGGGCTTGCTAATAACTCCACTTTTTTGTCAAGTCTATTATGGTGGAAAAATGTGAGTGAAATTCCAACATAATACCTTGTCACAGTGGCGCCACCGAACATCTGACTGTGAGCGAGTGAGTAATTTTTCCGCTGCGTGAATCGAAGTCAGAGGCAGGGGGAGTTATTCCGCGTCTGATAACTGCCAAAATAACAGCAGATAATTAGGCCCTTTAGAGCGCCGGGTGTCTCTTAACAAAGGCACCTGCGATTCCCGTGGAGTTTGCTGCACACCCCGAGTGATTGTCATTTTTAATCTGGCGCCCCCGCTGAGGCTTCTTCGCCATGCAGCGGCCCGACTGTAGGGTGCCAGAGGTAGATGTGTGCGCGCGGGTGTGTGTATACATGTGCGTACATAGGTGTGTGTGAGAGAGAGAGAGTGTGTATTTTCCCCTCCTCTTTTTTTCTTTTTTGTGAGCGTGAGAGAAAGGTAGAGTAAACTCGGTTCGGAGTCTGGGGGGGAGTAAAACTGTATCTATAGGAAGCAATCATTGTGTTATTTTAATCAGGCATTCTGCGAGTGGTCATATGATGCTTGGTAAGGGGGAAGACATGATGTTAAAGCTGGGGTACAGAACTTTAAAGCCAAAAAAAAAAAAATCCATATAGCCTGATCCTCGAGAACAGTTTGGTATGTTTTGGCCTCTGTCACGTATAAACACACTTCCTGTTGGGACTGCAAGATTGTAGGAGGCGGGGCTTGAACAACCTCAGTCAAATCCATTTATGATGTCACATTATATTTAATTACATGATGAGACACTTCTGCTTCACTCAGAGCCATGTGTGTGTTTTTAGACACTTGTGTAATGAGATTATAGTCAACAGACAGTTTACTCATCCTATTCGCAGTGTCAGGGAATGCATTTAGAAAACAATTACTTCTCAAAGAATTAAGGAATATGTTTAGGTCTTTCATCATGGAATTGCAGCATATAACAGAAAACATAACAGTTAGTTTATAATAACAAAACATGCATGGAAATGGTGCACATTTTTTAATATAATAATTATTTTACTCAGATTAGGAAAATGCAAACCACACCAACAAAAATATGCAGAAATTAGCCCAAAAGCTTATTGGCATTAATCGTCCTAAGGCAGGTAGAAATTTTAAAAAGCCATATTTTTGCACTATACAAAGAAGCTTGTTCCACTTATCAGGTATACAATACTTTGATTGGACCATGTGACAGAATACATAACAAAATACATGTTAGTGCAAAAAAGTGTTCTATCTTGCTGCTATAATCTTGAACAGCATTTTTTGCCGACAAAATCTAGGTTCAAATCCAGGTTTAGCATAGGTTTCCTCCGGGTACTCCGGTTTCCCCTACCACTAAAAACATGCTCACTTGGTTAAATCTTCCAGCTCCGGTAGCCCTGACCAAGCCGAGCATCAACATCTGGAGATGGTTCCCGGGCGACCACTGCTCCTGACGTAAGCCTTAGCGGCATCAGGATGGGTCAAATGCAGAGGATTGAATAGCCCTACGGGGATTAATAAAGTGCACCTTTCTCTCTCCCTAA